CCCAAAATGTGTTGAGTCTGAGGCTGAGACTCAAACTACTGGCGCTCATTGAACGCCTGTCCGGACCAGTGATTGGTATCTATTGTTACGATTTGTTTCCGTACACTAACCATGAGTTCTACATATTCTGTGCTAATTGTGTCAAGAATTTCATATTATTGTATGATTTGACTCAATAGTTACGCTAATATTATCACAGAATAAATGTTAACAAATATACGAATTAATTATATAGGTTTCAAATCATATGTATTTTAAGTTATAATTGTTTACTATTACACGGGATTTATATATTTTCTAGTTTATCAAAATCTATGAAAATTGAATTTAAATAGTGATTATACTATAAATATTTTTATTTTATTTTTCAATGGTAATGAAATGTCCAGAAACTATCAACATTTATCTCAAGGATACAATACTTCACATTTTCCTTAATTCAAATACTAATTAATATATTTAGATAATATATGCGCAATAAAATAAGATTTAAAAATATTTTTTAATCAATAATTACAAAAAATAATAAGTCGTATGAATAATAATTTTTGTTGAAATAGATTGAAATGATTAGAAAATTGATTTGTAAACTTTGAAATTATGAAATGTACTTCATTTGTTATCTTAACATTCATTTCACATGTATAGCTCAATCAAATTTGTTAATACAATTAAATGTTTGTTTTAGTGAATTGCATATCTATTAAAAAGTTTATTTGACACTATAAATTAATGATTATATAAATAAAATTTTATTTTTTAAAATATTTTGAAAACTTCTAAAGTGTTAGATAATTCAAACTTATTGAAAAATATTAAATAATGTATAATTATATTAGTTTAGTATATTGTGCGATAAATGTCTTACTATTATACGGCGTACCCATCGGTGGCACAGAACTGCCGGTTATTTTTATTTAACAATGGGAGCACCGGTATTAATTATGCTTTCCTCGACGGGGGAAAAGATGTCATATACACTGAAAACTCAACAAAAGTTTACGGGATTACATCCAAAGTGAAAAGTTTAGACATAAATATGCACAACAAGTATATGGTTTGGACGAGTGCTGAATATCCATATCCCATATATTTGGCTGAATTCAGATCCAAACTAAACACAAGTGACGGCCGACAGAGACTTCAAGTATTCAAACGATCGCTAGTTTTAGACAGAAGTCTGAACAGACATATAGCCATCGACTGGATTCACGACTTGATATTTTATGTGCACTCAACCAATATCAAGGTAATTGACGTGAATAACCCGGAGGTGGGCTATGAGGTGACAAATGACCCGTATACAAATAACTATCATAGCAGCTATCATGGTCAGACTGCGGTCAACCCTTTCGACGGATTTATCGTATGCCCTGAATATACCACAAGCAATGGTTGGGCTGTCATTAGGAAATGCAATGAAGACGGAACTGACCATCAGATTCTGGTCTATAAAGACGTACGACTTCCGGTTTGTTTGGCCATTGATTTTGATACAAAAACTATTGTATGGATTGATAATGAGTTGCATTCGTTGTCGTCAATTGACTTCTTCGGCAATAATCGGAAAAATTTAAAACAATCCAAACATCTGTTCAGCGATTGTCTAGCGATGGATGTGTTCAACGGATCCATATATTGGTCATCGCCTAAAGATAACAGTATATATAAAATCAATTTAACGGAAGTCTCGATGGACTCCATGTCCGCACCGATAGAAACTGTGGTCAAATCGGATGCAGACATAGATTTCGTGCGAATATTTCACTCAAATAAGCAACAAATGGGTCCTAATTATTGCCTAAACAATGATTGCCAACACATATGTCTACCAAATGCCAATCATAGCTATCGGTGTCTTTGTTCAGACGTGGATCTACTGGACACTTGTGAACAATCAAATATAACCATCCCTTTAGTACCGGATATACCCATTGAAAGCCAAAATTCAAGCGCTTTATCTGAATTGATGTCAACCTCTGACCCCTTATTATTGATTGCGTCTCATAAGAGGGACATAAGACTCGCCAAATGTCCGATAATCACACACTTTATTACATAGACTCAGAATTTGTACAAAAATGCAATCAATACGTGTTTGCCATTGACTATAGTATTTCTGACAATTATTTTATTGCCATTAAGACTGTATCTCAATATTTACCAGATTTGGCCACTTTGTATAGACAGCCCATTATCGACAACCAGTCTATTGCTGGCAACACAAGCAATGACTTAATAGATATAACCGAAAGTTATAAATCATTGGCATTGGATTACATCCATAATATAATATACTACCCCCTGTGTAACTACACGAGCAAGGATATTGGTATATATGCCGCCAATATCACTGACCCCCACAAACACCAGTTCCCAATCGTTAGGCAACAACATTGTGTGGCCAAAGATATTCGTGTGGATCCGTTGGAATCACTATTATTCTGGAGTGAATACATACCATCGGAAACCAGTTCCAGTTCTTATAGTTCTTACAGTTCTTACAGTTCTTACAGTCGCTACTCTTCGAGACCAACTTATAGTGACACTCGACTTAAAAGCCATATATTGCGGTCATCACAGGACGGACAGGGCCTTCAGATTATCGTGTATTCACAGTATGTGCGAAGGAATACCTTGAGCATTGACATCACAGCCAAAAGGCTTTATTGGATTAGTTCCGAGGGTTCGTATTCATCTGTCAGTCGGTTATACACTATTGGATACGACGGCTTAGACCAGAGGCTAATCCTGTCGTCAAAGAGTCTGTTCTCAGAGACCATTATCACCGCAATGGATGTGTTCGGGGATTACATCTATTGGACGGACAATGCAAACGATACCATACTTCGCGTGAATATGAAGGAGTCGAGTGAAGAAGTCCAAGTGGTGTTGCAATCGGGTATAGACATCAATGCCATGAAAGTAGTGCACAAATCGCGTCAACCTATGGCTAGAAATAAATGTGAGTCTCATTTGTGTCCCGAACTGTGCCTACCGTCCAGTTATAATCACCGCAACTTCACGTGCCGTTCCCTATGCGAGTCGCAGACTTGGAACGGGAATACCTGTGTCACTGTGAGCCCGGTGTCCGTAACTCCTATTTATAGAGTGACAACCCCTTCAACACCGTATGAAGTGTTGGACAACGAAACGAAGTTATTGTTTGTGTCCTATAAGGAGGGAATTTATGTCAAACAGAATTTTCACGAATTGGACACTAATTACATTGAGTCCATTGGATTGGTCTCAAGCAATGAGTTGATTACGGAATTGGATTATAATTACAACAACAATTTTATGCTTTATATCGTAAATAATATATTTACTGGATTTACATTATATGCCGCACCTATTGATAAAAGTAAACCGTCGATGTTTAGAAACAATCAACGATTACTCAAAAAGTCTTATGACTGCAAATCAATGGCTTATGATTTTATACACGATTTGGTGTATATAGGGGTCGCTAAAGGTATCGAAGTGTTTACTATTGGCCACAATCTGTACTCATATGATGTGGTCATTCATAATGAATATCATAATTCATATGATGTGGCGGTCGACCCCTACAATGGACTACTTGTATGGTCTCAAACGAAGTATACGTTAGTCTCATACGAATATATGGGAAGCATAATGCGTGCCAATCAGGACGGCTCTAACATACAGGTGCTCTATAATAGTACGGGAAATATTAAAATAATAACACTCGACATACCCTCACAATTGGTTTATTGGATCGATACAGACGCCCTTTTTTTGAAATCAATCACTTACTCAGGGACTTATTACCGGTTAATAAAAGATAGTTCCCAGTTTAGTTCAGCACTTTCTATGGATATGTTGGGGGAAAACATTTTTTGGTCCAATTCTGGTACTAATTCTATATATATAACCGATATTACCGAAAGGGAAGGCGTGGAGAGGTTGATCACGTCGTACGCCGATTTACAGGCTATCCGTGTCCTCGACCCTAACCGACAAATCAATGGCACAAATAGGTGTCTCAATCATAAATGTTCGCAACTCTGTCTACCCGTCCAACATTACTACCGGTGTGTTTGCGCTAAGGATCGGATTCTGTGTAAAGAGAATGTGAGACAAAAATCTTTGAAATTTATTTGAAATTCTTATAGCAATTGAATTGTATTTTAGGAAACATTAGTACTGCAAACAAATGACACGAATCTCATAGAGAATACAACCGATGATAGTATGGGAAGGATATCACAAAAATTGGATTCTTTGCTGAACACAACTAGTAATGCCACCAACTATTGGATTATTATAGCAGTGATTATCATATCTATTAATTTACTGCTAATCGGTATCTATTTTTACCGCAAAATGAAAGCGTAAGTAAACTATAATTTATCAACAATTTTAAGGTTATTTGCAATTAATAGGTGGACAGAGGGTAGGGGTTATTCATTAACTAGGATTTTGTTAATGTTAATTCATTTTTGCTAAATTTTAACTTTATTATGTTCACATTTTGACATGTGTTTTATTATTATCATACTGCAGTCCATTGGCTAATAATTGGTAGGGGTTATTCATTAACGAGGATTTTGTTAATGTTAATTCATTTTTGCTAAATTTTAACTTTATTATGTTCACATTTTGACATGTGTTTTATTATTATCATACTGCAGTCCATTGGCTAATAATTTAATGGCTAGATTCAGAAATGACCGGGATGAAGTGATTTTGAGAGAGACGTCCATTAATGGAGATCTGTGACCATGTTCATGTTTTAAATAAATAA